GATATTTATTGACTCGAGTAGCTGGATTTTTCTGTTAGGCTTTAGTCTTCATAGACTTTGAATTAGAAGGAACTTCAGAGGCCTGGTCCAAACTAAGTATTTACAAGAGAATCCCTTCTACCTCATCTTTAAGAAGTGGTCATTCAGCTTTCACATTGAAGACCTAGTGAATGAGAGTCTTTTTTTAAAAAATTTTTTTCAGTTAATTATATTTTTCCTCTTTCCCCCTCCATTTAGAAAAGAAAGAAAGAAAAAAGAAAAACCCTTGTAACAAATACATATAATCAAACAAAATCAATTCCCACAGTGGCCGTGTCCAGAAAAATGTCTCATTCTGTTTCCTAGGTCGTCCTCTGTCAGGGGGTGAGTAGCATGTTTCATTCTACATTGTCTGGTATCATGGTTGTTTGTTACATTTATCAGTTCTGATGTCTTTAGTTTATTTTTTGTTTTGTTTTTATTTTTACCATGCTGCTGCTGTTATATAAGTTGTTCTCCTGGTTTTGCTCACTCCATTCTTTATCAGTTCATACAAGTCTTCCAGATTTCACTGAATCCATCTCTTTCATCATTTATCATGGGACATTAAAATTCCGTTACATTCAAATACCATAATTTGTTCAGCTGTTTCCCCAATTAATGGGTATCCCCTTATTTTCCAGTCCTTTTCTACTGTAGAAAGAGCTGTTATTTTTGTACATACGGATCCTTTTCCTCGATCTCTTTGGAGTGTAGGCCTGTTAGCTGCGACTCTGGGTCAGAGGTTAAGCATGGTGTAGTTACTTCTTGGTAAGAGTTACACATTGCTTTCTGGAATGGCCGGACCAATTCACAGCTCCACCACCAGTGGGCTAAGGGTCTTTCCGGGCATCCTAATCCACTTTTGGATAACTGCAGATGTGAGAAGGTTTTTCCTTACATGGAGTCAAAGTCTGTCTCTCACATCTACCCTTTTACCTTCTCTGTGATGCAGGGTGAGTGTAGTCCTAGTGCTTGAACAGCCCTTCGGATATTTGAGGACGGCCACAAACGTTCTTTGGCTGAATCCTCCTGTGGCGTGTTCTTAGGGTCCTTCCCCATCTTGTCGTCCGTGTCGGGGTGATTTCTAACTTATCAATGACCTTCCTCACGTGGTGTCCGGAACTGAATTCATGGCCTGGGCAAAGTACAGCAGGGCACTAGCCTTCCTTGTTCTGGATGTCATACCTCTCAGGAGAGCCCAAGATCACACTAGAGTTTTTCCTTGGCTACTGTTGGATTTTAGAGCTGGAAGGGAGCTTGGTTCAGTTTTGTAGAGGAGGCCACTTGAGGCCTTGATCAGTTCACTAACTTTCCGAAGGCCCAGAGTCTGGTTCAAACACAGGTCGTCTGACTACCCATCCAGCCCGCTTTGCACTGCATCACGTTGCAGTGTCACGTTGTTGACTAATTGAGCTTGCTAAATTCCACAAATCTTTTTCAGTTCATCTGCTGCCTACTCATGGCTCCTTTGTCTTATACTTTTAAAACCAAAGTTTTTCTTTGTTTTGTTTTATTAGTATTATTATTGTTATTTTATTATTATTATTATTATTTTTTGGCAATTAGGGTTAAGTGACTTGCCCAGGGTCACACAGCTAGTAAGTGTCAAGTGTTTGGTCAGAGGCCGGATTTGAATTCGGGTCCTTCTGACTTTAGGGCCAGTGCTCTATCCACTGCGCCACCTAGCTGCCCCTTGTTTTGTTTTTTTAAACCAAAGTTTTGAACCCAAGTGTAGGATGATGAATTTATTTATCCCTGTTAAATTTTGCCCAATTGGATTCAGTCTAATGCTTTACCCTGCCCAGATCTGAACTGCATTGTCCCCATGTGTTAGCTCTCCCTCCCAGCTTTGGGTCATCTATACATTTGATGAGCATGCCATATCATCTATGTCTTTTTCCAAGTCATTGATACATGATAGAGTTCCAAGGACAGATCCCCCAGGCACTCCACTAGAAACTTCCTTCCAAGTAGACATTGGACCAGTGATGACTGACTACCCTTTGAGTGGAGTCATTCAGGCCCTTGGGAATCTACCTTGCTCTTACTGCCGTCTGTCCCCTCCCTGCCAAAGATGCCTCAGCCTTTGCACTTGAGACCACATTAGCAGATGGGGGAGATGACCAGCTCTGCCTCATTTGGACTCCAGCTCAAGAATTCAAAGCTAATACCATGTCCCCTTCTGTTCAGCACTTATTTTCCTCAAAGCTCTTATATATATATGATCTTCCTGACCCTTTAAGGGAACTAGGACAATCATTATTATCTGACAGATGTGGAAACTGAGGTTCAGCAGGCTTAGTCAGAGTATCTGAGCTGTGACTAGCACCCAGGCCTAGTGATTCCAGGTGAATAGAGCATAAGACCTGGAGTCTGAATCCTGCCTCAGACACTGTGTGAACCTGGGAAAATCACTTAATTTCTGTCAGCTTCAGTCTCCTCATCTGTAAAATGGGGTTTACAATAGCACTGGGGTGGTTGTATGGTTCGAATGTAATATTTTGAATATATGTAAAGTACTTTGGAAACCTTAAAGGACTCTATAAATTGCTAGCTATTATTAGCCAGCTGTGGCTGCCTAGCCAGAGAAAGGTACCAGCATTGCTTAGAGTGGCTAGTCCCCAAGACAGAACAGCAGTCAGTTCTTTGGTGGTTCCTCTCCCTGGAGTTCAGCACTAGCACCCCCGCTCGCCGTATCTGTCTCCTCCCCAGGGCCTTTATTCCCAGTCTCTAGTGCACGGCACTCTTGGTTTAAGGGCAGCCTTGCTCAAAGCAGTGCCAGATGGGAAAATTTCAGATTCGTCAGAGGCATCACAGAATCACTATTTGTACTGCAGTGGACCTCAGTGGCCACCTAGTTCTACCTGTACGTGAAAGGAATCCCTACTCTGCTATCTGCAGCGAGTGACTGTCCCATCTCTGCTGGAACACCTCCTAGAAGAGGGAAGCCTGCCACGTCTGGAAGCAGAACATTCCACTTGGAGAGAGCGTGGATGGTCAGGAAGCTTTTCTGGTTGTCCGGCTTCCATTCCACCCTTTGTTCCTGGCCCTGCTCTCTGGGTCCTCCTCAACATGACAGCCCTGCAGATACTTAAGGGCAGCAGTCTCATTTCCCTGGAGTCTGGCCTTCTTCAGTTCCTTCAGCCTGTCATCCTAGCTTTGGCCTGGACCCCAGGTTATGACCATTCTTACTGCTCTCCTCTGGACGCACCCCAACCTGGAACACAGCACTGTAGGTGAAGATCAATGAGGTATTAGGTGTTGTCTTTATGTAACAGTCACAGAGATGGAAGTTTTTTTCTTTATGAAAGGACTTCTGCAGGTTTCCCCTCACGGATTTAAAATAGGAGTTTGTTTAACCGTTTCATTAGCGTGTAACTTTCCAAAGGCACCATTATTTTTTAAATCAAGGTTCATTTCACCACCCTCCTCCCCTGTGTGCTCAAGCCCTGGCCTTTAGTCCTCCACTGCCGTTTCTTGGGGCTTAGCTCCTATGCTGACTGAACTGTGATTCATTTGAAATAAGCCCTAGATTTGAAATCAGGGGGATTGGGTTCAAATACTGGCTTGATCATTTGCTATCCATGTGACTTTGAACAAATCATTCAGCTTCTCTGGGACTCAGTTTCTTCATCTGTTTAAGAGCAGGTTGGGTAGATGACCTCTGTGGCCCTTTTGAGGTGTCTATTGTTCTTTTTTCCTCATTGAAATATTTTCATTTGAAAAAAGAAAGGCTTATGTTTGGAATGCTGGTTACCACCTGCTTTCAGAAAAAAATGTGCACATGACATTTTTAAGTTTAAGCTACTTTATTGATATTTTCTCCATCATGTAAGTCTCGACGATTAACAAAACAATAATTCAGGTTTTGGTTCGCTGATTTCTGATGCTCATGCTGAAATTTTGACAATTAGCTCCAGCTGGTACAAGCTGGCTCCAGAACATCTTAGTTGTCTGTGTATGTGTTTGAACTTTCTCTAGCCCCATTTCAATACCATGTGTTCACTACGATTTTACATCTTCCAATTTAAACTTTCTTCCCAGCGTGGACTTTTGGAAGTCTTTGGGGTGACCTTTCCCAGAGGATGAAGCTCTGAGACACCGGGCCCCTTTCCTCCTATCACTTCTTTCTCTTGTGGCTGCCACTTTGTGCTGGATCTTCTTCCAGGATGTGCAGCACCTCGCTGGTTTGTCTCCTGCCTAAACTCTATCCCAGTTCATCTTCCACTCAACTTTCAAGGGGATCTCCCTGTAGCACAGACCTAACTGTGGCACCACCCTACTCAGTCAACTCTGCGGTTCCCTAGCACCTCCAGGATCAGTTTTCACACCTTCTGCTTGGCTTTGAAAGCCTTTCTTGACCTAATCTCCTGCTGCCTTTCCAGTCTCCTTATACCTTACATTTGTGTATTCTGTGATCCAGTGACCCCAGCCTCCTCGCTCTTCCATCTCCCTACTCTGGGCATTTTCCCTGGCTGTCCACCATGCTTGGAATGCCCACTTCCTCCTCTCTGCCTCCTGGCTTGCTTCAAGTCTCTGCTAAAACTCTACTTCTACAGGAAGCCTATTCTGATTCTTCCATAATTCTAGGACTTTCCTGCTGCTGCTTATTTCTAAATTATCTTGTCTACAACTTGTTTGTCCATGATTGTTTGCATGTTAGCTCCTCCATTCGATTGTGAGCCCCTTGAAGCAGGGACTGTCTTCTGTTTTCTTTGTATCCCCAGCACTTTGCACAGTGCCTGGCACATAGTAGATGGTTAATAAATATTTATTGACCAGCTAGCTGATGACTATCTGCAGTTGTCAGATCTAATGTTGCCAGTGCAGAGTTGTACCTGTTTTCAGTAATAAGCCCATCCCCGGCCCCCACAATACAGTGCCTTAGAGCCTAGGATGAAAAGTCGAGTGAAAGGAGTGCTGAGGGCTCTACCAGCAGCTGGGTGTAAGTCACTTTGCTCTTCTTTCTCTTCTTACAGGCCTATCCCTGGAGCGCTTGCCCAACTCCATTGCCTGCCGAGCCCGACTCAGTGAGAGGGAAGAAGAAGCCATCTCCTGTTTTGAAAGGGCATCTTGGATCGCCCAGGTGTTTCTGCAAGAGCTGGAAAAGGTGAGATGGCAGTGGAATGCCATCCTCCCTCTGTCCCTCTTTGTCATTGTAGGGTGAGATGACAGTAGGGGAAGTGTCTTAGATCCACTTTACTTGTGGGCAAAAAGTCAAATGTGTTGTGTCTCCAGGATGTTTAGTGCCTGTGCTTGAGTTGCATTGTGGACACTAGACTAGGTTCTTTATTTTCCCAGGAGTACAGTACCTGATAGTTGAGACAGGATAGAAAATCCTTATGGAGTTAACATAAAGACAGGAATAAAAATATGGTGATTTCCAGGGCGTATTGGGGGAGGAGGTGAACTATTAAGCTCAGTTAGGGCACCTTCCTGGAAAAGAAGATATCCTTGAACTTAGCAGACTTAAAGCCACTGAGGAAGTCTGTCAGTCAGTCACCAGGTCTTTATTCTATGTGTCAGGCGCAGTACTACAGCAAGTACAAAGAATAAAGCAACCGCTGCTCGCAAATAACTGGCATTTATGGGACACCTGAAAATGTGTCAAGAGCTAAGGAGGAAACTCAAGCTTATGGAAGTGAATGTTGAAAACTAAAAAGAAATTAATTTAAAAAAAAGCTAAGGAGGCACTATAGGCATTATCTTCATTTTACAGATAGAGAAGCTGCAGCTCAGAGATTGTAAGTGTTTAGCCCATGGTTACATGGTTATTAAGTGTTGGCATTGGGCACTGAACCCCTGACTTTGTCCTCTGAGCTGTCCACTATGCCATACTGTCTCTCAGTGGTGAAGTTGGTGAAACAGCCCTCTTCTTCCTCTTCTGTCCCCTGCCTCTCTCTGTTCCTGCCCTGTAAGGGGAGGCCTCTGTTGGGTCTTGGGTTGACTCTCAGCCAAAGACCCTTCTGCTCACACAAATACTGGAGGGAAGGGGAAGTGATTTGGTGAAAGTGACAGTTGAGGCCCTCTTCCTTGACAGCTGAGACGCTAATATGAGAGGGTTGACTGTGCTTGTGTTGATCTTTGGGGCGTGGTTAGAAGTTTGTAAGTTTCATACGCGTGGAAATGCATGTTATGCATTTTGTTGTTGTTCAGTTATCTCAGCTGTGTCTGACTCTTTGTGGCTCCATTTGGGGTTTTCTTGACAAGAATGAGTTGCGATTTTCTTCTCCAGCTCATTTTATAGATGAGGAAACTGAGGCAAGCAGGGTTATGTGATTTGCCCAGGATCTGAGGTCAGATTTTAACTTGCGTCTTCCTGATTCCGGGCCCAGTGCTATATCTACTGTGCCGCATAGCCGCCCATGTTAGGTATGGGTAGGAGATGCTTAAGGAGAGACAGAAAGAGGGGAAAGGGATGGAGAGAGAGAGAAAGAGACGAGGTCGTGGGAGGGAGAGATGGAGACAGAGAAGAGAGCAAGGTGGAATGAGAGAGGGAATTCTGCCTCTCGCCTGTAAGCCCGGGAAACCAACCTTAGAAAGTGAGTAAAGGTATTTATCTTCAATGCTCTGGCTAGATTATGGGGCCGCTATTGACCCTCAGGTTGAAGCAGAGAGCCTTCTCATGCCTTGGGATCAACTCTTGCTGTCCTGAAGGCTGTCTCACTCAGTAGTGAAAATGAAAGGGCACCCTGTGCACAGTCTAGAACCAGGGGTTGTTTGTCTTTTTGAAAATATTTTGGTAACTGTATTTCAGTATACTTGGTTTCCTTGGTAATCCTATGTATTGGATTTTATGCAGTTGAAAATATTACTCTGAGAAGGGTTCTGTAGGGCAGCATTGTCAGACAGACCTGCCCCGCCCCCCCATCAAAATAAAATGTAATTGGGAAATACTTACCAAAAATACAGATAACATGAATATGGGGGTTTCCCAGTCAATGTGCAGTACAGTTTAGGGGCTCCCGTTTCTGTTTGATTTTGCCATCCCAGCTGCGGCCTGCTTCAGATACTAAAATGGCCCATGAGAACAGAAGGTTAAGAACCCTTGGTCTGCAATGAAATTTGTTTCTTCCAAGAATGAACAACCACATTATGGGGGGAGGGGGGAAGGATTTAAAATGGCTTTTTTAAAGTTAAAGTAAAATAGAATTTCTTTGGTTTTGAGAATTTCGCATAGGCCCTTTGCAGTCATTGGTGACTCGGTGAAGGTGCAGTGGCCTGCTCTGGATTGGTTGCTCCTAGAGGCCCGGAGTAGTCACCCAGTAGTCCTTTGACTAGAACTTTGTATCTGACTGTAACTTTGTTCTCTTCCTCCCCTACTTCTTCTAGACCACAAATAATACCCATCCAAGGAGCCTGAAAAGCAGCCCAGCTCTGCCTGAATTTGAGCTGACATACTTCCTGGAAGCAGCCCTGCAGAGCGCCTATGTGGCCAGGTTACGGAAGGGGTAGGTAGTCAGCCCCCCCCCCCCCCCCCCCCCCCCCCGTCACCGTGGGGCTGGGCCTAGAGCCTCCTGGGGGATGTCTTTAACTTTTTCAAGCATGGTGCTCCTTATTAAAGGTGGACTGTCTCCTTTCTCCTTCCTTTCTCATCCCCTTCTTTCTCTCTGTTGTCTGTCTCTCTCCTCTTCTCCTTTCCTTCTCTTCTCCATGTACTGTGCTGAGCAGTAGGGAAACAAATACAAAAGAAGAAAGGAAATAAATGTTTATTAAATGCCAGTTCTGTGCCAGATGCTGTGCTAAATGTTTTGCCAATATCATTTCATTTGATCCTTACCACAACCCTGTGAAGTATGTGCTGTTAATATCCATGTTTTACAGATGAGGAAACTGAGGGAGACAGAGGTTAGAGCCATGGGCCTGGAGTCATTAAGACTCCAGTTCAAATCTGGCCTCTGATACTTACAAGCTGTGTGACTCTGGACAGGTGTCTGAGGCCAGATTTGAACTTCAGTCTTCTTGACTCCAGGCCCATGGCTCTGTCCGCTTTGCCATCTAGCTGCTTCTGAGTAACATACCTGCTCTCAAAGAACTTACCTTCTAAAGGGGGAGAGCACAACAACATTTATCAGTACCTACAGCATAAGTAGAACTAGAATTAATTACAAAGCAGTTAAATACAAGGTAGTTTGGGAGGGGAGGGTACTCTCAGTGGAGGTGGGGGGGAGGATCAGGAAAGGCTTCATGTCCAGGAAGAGTTCTTAAACTTTGTGTCATAGATCCCAGGGGACCATAAATAGATTTGGGGGGGGGGTTAGGCAGGGTGTCCATGAATTCAATTTAAAAAAATTTGAAATTACTTTTGATAGAATTGATTTCTTTTGTAGTACTATGTATTTTATTTTATGCATTTAAAAATACCAATCTGAGAAGGGATCTGTAGTCTTCACCAACCTGACACACAAAAGTTAGTGTTTAAACTGACAGATTCTGAGGTGGAGGAAGTGAAGAGAGAGTGCCTTCTAGGCAGGGGGATGGTCATTGCAAAGGCATGAAGCCCAGAGATGGTGTATTATGTGTACAGAACAGAGAAAGGGCAAGTTTCACTGGATCACAAAGTGTGGGAAGAGACAATAGTGCACAGTTAGGCTGGAAAGATAGGTTGGGGCCAGGCAGTTAGGGAGCCCCTAGAGTGGATTGAGTTAGGGGAGGGGAGGCAGGCAACAGGTCAAGGCCTGTGCTAAGGGAAGTCATATTGGTAACAGTGTGTAGGATGGACCAGTGTAGGGCAAGACAGGAGGCAGGGAGACCACTTTGTGGTAGTCTAGGCAAGAAGTGATGAGGGCCTGAGATAAGATGGCAGCTCTGTCATTGAAGAGAAGGAGTCGGGTTCAAGAGATGTGGAGGTCGAAATGGCAAGAATTGGTCACTGATTGGATTTGTGCTTTGAGGAAGTGTGAGGAATTGAGAAAAATGCCAAGGTTGTGAATCTGGGAGACTGGAAGAGATAGTTATGGAGGTAGGGGTGAGGTTGTGGGGGGTAGGGAGAAGGTCATGAATTCTGGTTTGGACACATTGAATTTGAGATATCCTTGAGACTTCCAGTCTGAAATGTCTGATGGGCAGTTAGTGATGTGGGACTTGAAAGTCAGGGGAGAGATTAGAACTGTGGATTGATTCCAGGGAGTGGGGGGGGAGGGAACAGGACAGACAGGATGGGAAGTACATCTTTATTTTAATTTAATTGGTTTCTTTTGTAATCCTACATATTTAATGGCTTTAAAACCATTATTCTTAGAAACTGTCTGTGGGGCACAACACGAATGGGTTCAGAATCCCAGATCTAGGCCAGCCTTCCCAGTTTTGGGCCCAGAGCAATGGAGAGAGACTTGCTCAGAGTCTGAAAGGTAGTAGGTGGCAAAGCTACATCACGTTCTCATTGCACAATAGCTCTGCTCTTCTTAGACTGGAGTCCATCATTTTAGGCCTTTAAGGGTGGGGGGGGAGTCTAGAAAAATCTCTGTTTCCTTTGTTAACTTGAGAGCTGTCGACCTCCTTTTTTTTCTCTCTCACTGCCCTCTGTCACAGGATTTTTAATCCTTGGAGGTCAGATGATTGCAGAACTTTTCCAGGTGTGATAAGCATGTGATGGTGCTTATCTCATGGAAAGCAGCGGCTTTGGTGCAAGGACTGGGGGTTAAGGCCACTTTTCTCATACTGGATATTTGAATAATAAATGAAAAATGGCTGGGGGGAGAGGGATTTTCCCCAGCCACAGCAAACTCCCACTCCCTAGCCTCCAAAAACAGATTCTGAAGCTGGAAAGGTCGGTCTGCCTATCAGCAGCATAAGCACTTGGCCATAGAGAGGCAGGCAGGTGTCATTCTGTCCATTTTTGACAGATGGGTAAACTGAAGCCAAGAGAAGTTTTAGTGACTTAAGTGACGTAAGGAGAGGTAGTGTGGTACTGTGGGAAAACTGAGGCTCTAGAGAACCTGGGTTCAGATCCTGCCTATGTCCCTTTCAATAATGATATAATTTTGGGCAAGTCAGTAATGAGATTATATTGGACATCCTTTGCTATCAAATGAGGGTCTGGGCAAAATGCATTCTAGGTCTGAGGACTAGCTTCAGTGGAACCCACCGAGCGTTGGTGATCTAGTTGGGCTGGAACTTAGCCTTCATGAGGGAGTTGTGAAGTCCCTTCTAGCTCCTCTGATTAGTCTGCAAACACTTCTGAGGTACCTAGTTCATGCCCTGAGGAGACAAAGAAAGACACAAGACAGCCCCAGGCCCCAAGGAACCCACCTGTGACTGAACAGATATCGGTCCTCTCAGTAGTGATAGGGAGGTTAGATAGAGGGGAAGATGAAGTGGGCAAGGAGAGGGGTGAGATGTCTCATAGGAGTTTGGAGATACCAGACCTGATGTCAGCAGAGAGGTTGGTGCTGGGTAACTAGATTTGGGAATCACCAGCACAGAGATGATCGCTGAAGTCATGGGAGCTCATGAGATCACCAAGTGAAAGAGTGTAGCAAGAGGAGAGGAGAGGAGCCCGGACAGAGCCCCGTGAGACACCTGAGGTTAGAGTGTGATCTGGCTGAGAACACCCTGAGGGGTGTAGGTGAGAGGAGAGCCAGGAGGGCGTGGTGTCCAGCATCCTAAAGAGAAGAAAGGATCAGGAGGAGAGAGTGAGGTCCAGACAGACGGGGAATTGACCAGAGGCCATTGGTCTGGCAGCTAAGATCTTCAGTAACTTTGGAGAGAGCAGTGTGGGTTGGATGGTGAGGCTGGAAGCCGGATTGGAGACTTGAGAGTTAGAAGAAAGCCAGCGGAGGCCTCTGTTGTAGATGGCCTTCTCAAGGACTTCGGCCCCAAAGGGGAGGAGAGGTATGGGAAGATGACTGTGGGGACTGATTGCTAGCTCTGCCTCCCCGCACCTGGCTCTCTTGAAAAAGGGCCCTGTGGCTGTTTTTCACTTTCCTGCCTGCTCAGGAATGCTCCCGGTCCTCTCCCTGCCCCTTCTCCCTCGTCTCAGGATGACGTGAGAGCAGTGTGAGGGAGTGGGGGGTGGGGAGGGAGTGGGGTCGGGGCAGTGTCGGGAAGAGGAGCATTTGCTGCACTGTGGATGCTGTCGTGGCCATCTGCTAGTGTCTCAGCCCTTTACACTGGCTGGCCTTCCGTTTCAGAGGCACAGGTGTTCTTTTTTATGCTTGAGGCATTCACAACTGGACTGCCCGCTTCTTTCCAGCTGGTAGGTTTGCACTTTGTCCCCCATAGTTCTGGGGTGAAATGCTCCCAGTTTGTCAGTGAGGGGAAGTGTCAGCCCCCAAAGTCTGTGAATGCTAGCGTGTAGTGCAGCTGGTTGAGTTCTGACTGTCACAGTCTAGCTTTGTGACTTCAGGAGTGTCCAGTCCCCTCTCTGGGCCTTACTTTCCCTCTTGTGAAAAAGGAGCATTGGACTGGTCTATCTCTACAATCTCTTCCAGCTCTAAGGTCTGCTTCTGTGAATGAGAATGATGAGACATTTCTTACCTGCCTCTCAGGGGGGTTGTGAGGATCAAAAGAGAACTGTTTCAACACATTCTGAGTGTTGCTCCCCACATAAATGGAAGGTTTTATCAGCAGTAACAGTTGCACATACTTCACACCATTAAGATTTTTCAAGCACTTATCTTACCTTTTCTGTCAGTAGTACAAATATTATCTCGGTATTTCACAGAAAGAGACTAGGGTCTAGAGGTTAAGTGACTTATCTGGGGCCATAAAACTCCCACATGTCAGGGCCAGGATGTGAACCCAGATCTTCTGGATTGGCATCCATCCAGCACTTCTACCACTTTCCATTGTGCCTTTTTGTGTCATGGGCCTCTTGGGCAGTCTGAAACCTGTGGACCACTTCTCACAAGAATGTGTTTAAATGTCCAAAAAAAAAGTCCATAGGATTTTTAAAAAAATTATGTTGAAATACAGTTGTCAACCTAGGGGGAAAAAAGTTCATGAACCCCAGGTTAAGAACTTGTGGCCCAGAGGATGATTCTGCTAATTTGCTATACTCTTAGGGAGATGAGCTGCTCTAATCTTCATGTTATATTAGAGCCAGGAGGCAAAATGTTCATCTTTCAGTACTCTGAGCATTGTATTGATGGGTGACATAGGTGAGGGGTTAACCCAGTGGGGATTCAGTAGGAAAGATCCTCATTTTTCTAAATTCTGTTCCTTTTAATTAGAGATTTTTAGGCCTTTGAGCTAGGATAATAGCCAGTTTTTCTAGAATAAAGAGGTATGGAAATAAATCATCCTTTATCTTCAAAGCTGCCTGAGTACTATCTCCTCCTGAAACCTTTGTTCAAAGTCTGTGAGCCACTGTTCCCAGGAATTCAAGGTGATTACTCAGCCCCCTTGGAAAACTGGTCTGTTCACTTCCTGTGACTGTGACTATGTTCCTACTGTTCCATGGGCTTGGGAATCTGTGGCAGGAGCTCCTTTTGAACCTTTAGGCTTTTAA